TCTCTGTTGAAATGCTCACTGAATTTATCTACATTTCACAGAAGTTCATCGAGCCTCTTTATAACCAGTGTTTTGAACTCTGAATCTGTTATATTACTTGAGTCCATTCTATCTGGGTCTCTGTTCTGTTCTCTCACATGGCTTCTGCTGCTTTGTCTTCCCATTTTGGCTGCCTTTCTGTGTCTGTTTTTATGTACTAAGCAAAGCTTCTAAGTCTCCTGGTCTTATTAAGATGGCTTTGTGTATTAAAATAATGAGATACCACTACACACCTATTAGAATAGTCCAGTGGCCCAGTTCTGAAAGGGGTTGAGCTGCAGGCCAAGTTTAGCCCAAGCCTGTGCCCCTCCGGGGCCACCTGTTAAGATTCAGCCAGCAATCCACAGATGCTGTGCTTATCGTTGCCTCAAAAGGCCATGCCAGAGACTGAGGTCAGCTGCCACTAGCATGAGTCTAGGCACTGCTCAGCAAGGAGCACCTAACTGGCCGAGGACACACGTGGATGTGGCTTGGGTGGGGCCCGAGTCGGAGGAGGCAGGGTTTCAGGGAATCCTCTGGGCAGAGCGAACTCTGTTATCCAGTTTGATGACATCACGGCTGTGGCAGCGCTGTGTCCGCGCACTGGGAGGGGAGGGCTCAACAGGGAACGTGGGATACCCCTGGCACTTCTGTACCGATCGAGTCTCGCCTCAGCCCTCACTGCGACAGTGTCTCCCTGTAAGTCCCTGGTGACCCCTGCATGCGGCCGAATCGGCACTGGTGCTCAGAGCGAGCAGGTCCGTCACCAGGACAATCCGCTCGTGGACGCGGCCCCCGTAAGAGGCGTCCGCCGCTGCGGCTGTCACTGCTGCTGTCACTGCCGCAGCCTCCGTCACACTCAGCCACTCGGGACCAGGCAGCCCCACATCCTCTCCCCGTCCTACCTTCTGCCGTTGCAAGGTGCTTTCTTGGATTTCTCCCTAGCTGTATGGCTTGTTCCTCCAGATCCCAGGTGATTTGTTCTTGCCGCTGCTCCTTGTTTCTGTCACAACTTTGATCTGGTCGCCAGGGGGATGAACAGAGACTCTATCATCTACACCACTTTTTTTTTCCTCTGTGTACTTCCTTTGACTTTTAACTTTCATCTTGGACTTGTCGTTTTGTGATAAAATAAGCAGTATCTTATACAATCTTTTCATCTAAAAAGTCACTGTACAGTAATGTCATTTTATTCATCCCTTTCTTCCCTTCCTCTAAATTTAAGAGAAATGACAAATCTTTTTCACAGTCGACTTATTCTCCCAAATAAGTTTTTAAGCAGTGTGAGTTAGCAGGCCATGGCTACAGGGGAACAGCAATGGAGCTGGCGCTGGTCACACCCCGTGCTATGGCAGGGCCGAGGACTGCCGGGACCAGGAGTTCGCAGAAAGCTTTCCCGGGCTGTAAACATATGAAGCCACTTAACCCTTTCATCCAGGAGGTGTGTGCTGCTGTGAGCCCCACGTTAGAGGTGGGGAGTCAGCGCGGGTTATGTAACTTGTCCGGGGTCACACAACTAGCAAGGGGTACAGTGAGGATTTGAATCCCTTCAGCCTGGCTCCAGGCCTGGACTCGGCCACCTGGCTGAGCTCTCTTTCTAGTCAGGATCGTCGCTCCTTTCCTGGGCTAATTACCCCATCTTAGTATTGAGGGCAGCCACCTTAACTGTACGCAAAACAATGCACGGGGTCTCTGCACTTTTCTAAGTCACCGAATCATCAAAGGAGTTTGTGACCAACAAAGGTGAGGGGAGGGCATAAAAACCACTGCCCCGGACAAGACTTAATTACGATTCTAGAACAATGGGAACGTTACCAGCTTTGACGGTGTCTAAGTACTGGCAGAGGGGACATGGAAGAGTGGCACCGGTCTCATGACGTGGGCAGTCCACGTTACTGTCTCTAGTTCAGAGAAGATCAGGGGGCATGAGTCCGTAGCGCGTGTAAATGTCTCACCACTGTGCTGTACACCTGAAACCAATATAATACTGAATGTCGACTAATTGAAAAATAAAAACATTAAAATTGAAATTAAAAACTAAAAAGAAAACACTGCCCTAGAAAAAGGCACAGAAGCTATTAACTCAACCTTAAAGAAAAGGAGATGATGTCTAAAAATACCTTCTGACTACTTTGTAAATCACACTTTTCTGATGAACCCGCCGACCGGTCTCTAAGTCAGGAGGAAGTCAGTGGCCTGGGTGCGTCCTTCCTCTGTGCGGGTCTGTGGGTGCGGTGAGGTGAGCAGTGGGACGCACTGCTCTGACTCTCCCTGGGCCTTAGTCCTATGAGATTGTGACGAGGTCTGCCTGTCTGTCTTTCAGCCAACGACTACAGGGAATCTAAGTGTCAGGCTGTCATCCAGGAACTGCGTAAGTGTTGCACTCGATATCCCAGGGGAAGATCGCTCGTCTGTTCGGGATTTGAGAAAGAAGAGGCAGAAAAGCTGACACCGAAGTCCGCATCGAAGTCCAGTTCTGCCGAGAAGCCACGTGCTGCATCGCGGTTCCACCAAGCGAGTTTTGTTTATCCTCCTGACTCTTCAGGCCAGGTAGCAGCAAGTATCGAATGAAAAAGTCAACTATAAAAGTTAGTAAATATGCCAACTATGCAGAACAGATAGAATAATATTAAACAAATATGTAGACTGTAATAAAAAACAGCTGCTAAAATAAACCCGTTAAGTGAACATTTCTTGGTTTGCTACTCGTGATCGCGTCGCTTAGAAGAAATAGGTATTTGGTCTTTGTCTCTGTTCCCGGCACAGAGCTCCCAAAACCCTTTGAGATCTCCTAACTGATAAGAGAAATAAAGGTGTCTTTTGTTCCATCAGCAAGGTTACTTTTGAAAAGCCCCTAGTAATCCATGGATGGGGGCCGGTTGTCAGGGGAACCGACCACATGACGAGTGGGAACTTTTGGTCCCCACCCCGACTTCTGGGGAGGGCAGAGGGCTGCAGAAGATTGAGTTCAATCGCCAGTGGCCAATAACTTAGCCAATCACGCCTGTGTGATGAAGTCTCCACGAAAACCAAAAGGATGCGGAGCCTGGCGGACCTTGCCCTGAGTACCTCTGCATTTAACTGTTCGTCTGTCTCCTTTATAATCTCTTTTCTAATGAACTGGTAAGTATTTAAGGAAATGTTCCTCTGGGTTCTGTATCTTTGGGAACCTCAGACTTACAGGCTGTCGGTCAGAAGCACGTGTGACAATCTGGACTTGCAATAGGCATCTGAAGTGGGGGTGGTCTTGTGGGACTGAGCCCTTAGCCTGGGGGGTCTGACACTAACTCCAGGTGGAGAGAGTCATAATTAAATTTGTAGGACACCCAGTCAGTGCCCCTCAAGAATTAGAGAATTGCTTGGGAAAAAAACAGACATAGGTGTAGTAATGTATTTCTTAAAGGCTGTTGGATATACGTGTTGATGAATTCCTTAGCCTTTGAGTCCAGACTACTAGTGTCATTCAAAAACTCAAGTCAAATGAGGTATATGGTAGGTGAAGAGTCACCCTTCCAGAGTCAGCGATCGAGACCTTTCATAGACTACCTGCTAAATTCGAAGGTTTCTCTAACCCAACCCCATACCTGTTGTATTTCCAATAATTTTGAGCAAGGTGTCTTCCCAAATGCAAGTAAGAGCATTTCTTTCTGCTTTTGCATTCCCACCACGGTGCCCGGCCAGAAGGCACGCAATATTTGTTCAATAAGTAGTAGGAAAGGCATAGGAACGATTCTTGTAATGTTTAATGACCCCCAACTTATTGTGAGAACCAAAAAAAAAAAACCCTTTATCGGAAGTCAGGCAGGCAGCAATGGAATTAGAATTCTTAGGTGGTTTATCTACTCTTTATATCCTTAACATCAAAACCTATTACAGCGGATCCCAGTGTTAATATGAGGCCGCCAAAGGAAGCCTAGTGACAACTGTCAGTGACTTCGTTTAGGAGATGGGGGGTGGGGTGGGGGTGACAGTATCAAACAGGCCATTTGCTTTCCTCAAACGGGTGTTAGAACCATCACTCCACCCTGCCCCACCCCCCGACCCCCAAAAAAGAAAAAGATGACTTTCTAAGCAAGAGCAGAAACAAATTCTGATCGGTTCCAGTCTTAGTCTATTCTGGCCATTATAACAAAATACCACAGATGGGGGGTGGGGGAGGGACTTACAAACGAGACATTTATTTCTCGCAGCTCTAGAGGCTGGAAGTCCAAGATCAAGGCACTGGCAGACTCAGAGTCTGGTGCGGACCCTCTTCCGGTTCAGAGAGCACTGTCTTCTCACTCTGTCCTCACGTAGAAGGGAACAGGGAGCTCTCTGAGGCCTCTTTTATAAGGGTTCCAACCCCATTCGTGGGAGCCACAGCCCCGTGAACTAAGCACCCCCCAAGGCCCCACGTCCTGATACCACCACCTTGGGGGTTAGGATGTCAACATGTGAATTTGGAGGGGACACAAACATTCAGTCCATAACAGAGAGGACCCTTCCTCGCCTCTTCCAGCATGCTACAAAAAGCCTCCAGGGCTGTGAAGGGACAGTAATGGTCCCTGATGTTGAAATACCTTTATTATTTGAGACCAAGTATTCTTTTTTTTTTTTAGACGAGGCAACCCTTGATTGACCTCACAGATTGTAAGGACCTTGTCAGTTTACAATCCCTTATTTTTTTTATTTTTTACGCCTCCAGCACCTGGTCTTCCTAGGTGGTCTCCCATCCAAGTACTAACCAGGCCCGACCCTGCTTAGCTTCTGAGATCAGACGGGATCGGGCTTGTTCAGGGTGGCGTGGCTGTAGACCCTTCCTATCTTTAAACTCAGTCCTGTCTCGGTTTAAATCAACATGGATTGGCAGACATGGATGTAAATCTTATTCTTCCTGTGACATACAGAAAAATAAAATAGCCATCAGAGAAGCTTAACATTTACTGAGTGTTCTTTCTGCATTAGGGACCTTGATTAGAACTGGGAAGGTGAGAACTCTGATCTCGTCCTGCATTTTAGAGACGAAAAAGCCCCTATGTAGGCTCTTAGTGATGCTAAGTTTAATCACTTGGTTAACGAGTGACTGACATACCTCTCAGCTGGAAAGGCTGTTTTTCCTTTGTAATGTGTGCGGTGATATGTTGGTGCCCCATGGATATACCACAATCGGTCACCCCTTAGCTTTAGCATCCACTGCTGACAAGAGCCCCTGCTCTACCGTGCGACAATTCTCTTCCCGGCATCCACTCCACACGCTTCCTGTAAAATTTAATAAACTGTAATGTTACACTTGTGTTCAGCATCTGAAGTTGTACACCACTTAAAAGGCTTAAAGGGTCTGTTAAGTAGTCACTTTTAACAGCAGAATTTTAATTTTCTTAGCACCAGCTTCCATAGCTGTATTTCAGCGGCTTTCGACTTTGGCTGTTCATTAGAAACACCTGAGGCATGTGACAAACTCAGGCTGTCCCGGTGGTACCCCAGGCCGGTGAAATCAAGTGTCTAGAATGACAGCCAGGTGTCAGCAGTTTGCAAAATTCCAAAGGTGACGCCCCTGTGCCAGCAAGGAGAACCTCCACTCTCAATAATCCTAGTGGCATTTCTTACCATTTCAAATTCACAAAGGTAGACGCTCTGGGTGAGTCAATAAAACTTACAGTTTTAGAAAAATATGGAAAAAGTGCGACACTTTCAGTTTTTTTTTTTAGAAAAATAGTGCTCTTAAAAGTCATGATTCCTTAAGAAGCCAACATCACAGACGTAAGCTGCATCATAGGATTTCTGGGGAATTGGGTCCACAATAAGATATATTTTCTGCTCAGTTCTGCAAGAGGCCACCGAGACATTGCATAAGTGATTAAGAAGGTGCCATTCTGGGAGCGCATGACAAAGAAACAAAGCTGATAAGTCGGTGGAGGGAGCAGAGAGAGCAGCAATCTAATTTTGCCTATAGGGTCTAAACTGGCCTTGAGTTTCACTCAGAGAAGAAACTGAGATCGTCACCAAACATGAATGACACCTAAATATGTCAAACCCATCCCTATGTCACATTTTTTTTTCAACCAGAGATTTATTGTTATTTCTCTAAACTATACAAAAGTAGAAGTTTCAAATAAGAGCCCAATCATGAGTCATGTCCATCTTTCTGGCAAATATCAAACGAAAAGATGCTAGAACATTCTTACAATAGTTAACTACACGGTAACTGCATTTCAAAACCACAAGCACTCACCCTAGGAGTAGGTTAGCTACAAATATGGAAGATTCATTCCTTCAAGAAAAATGAATAAAGGAAGGAGGGAGAAAGAGGGGTATATAGGTAGGGGCGAGGGAGGGAGAGAGGGAGCTCGAACATGAATAAACCAATTCCTTCTTCTCTCTTATGTGCTAATGTGAAAAAAAATCGCCATGTGGGAATGCTGTGAAGCAATTTTATTACTCAATAAAACATGTGAAACCGGAAAACCAAAAAGAAATGTCCTCCAACTTTAATCACGTCCTATCTCGTGCCAGCATCCATGAGGCGGTGACTGCCCAGGTCCAGGAGGGAGGACTTTTACCTGAGTTGTAGGCCAGGTGTGTGTGTTGGGGGGGCAGGGGTTGAGCCCGCCATCCCCCCACCCCAACTCCGCGGGCCTGTAGCTGAATGTCCGAGGCTGAGTGGTGAGAATGTGAAGCAAACAAGCTGCCCATAGGGCAGCAGGAGCCAAGTCCTGTTGGTATATCACCATAACAATGACACACAGGACAATGGGGGTGCTTAAACAGTGTCAGCAATGGGGAGTCTCCTTAGGGAGACGGAACATCGGAGTATTTTTTGAGCCTGAAGGGGCAGCAGCCAGAAAGCGACAACACCCCTGGATCCCTCTCCGCTCTCCTCTGACACCAGGGAGAACTTCGGGGAGAAGGGACTCAATCAAGCATTATAGCTCCTCCTGTGTCAGGACCCAAACCCCCATCCTACCCGGTTCCATCGCAGGTGGGACGCCGGGGCAAAGGGTGGCCCAGAGTAGCGAGGACGCCTCGGTGTGAGGAGCTAAAGGGGAGAGAAGCTTGGCGGATGCTCCAGCCAGCAGGTGCGGTGGACGTGTCACGTGCTGGTACCGACGGCGCTCATTGCGCAAGGAGATTCTCCCAGTCCGGGTCAAGCTCCAAGCAGAGAAGCCGCGAGCGCGGCGTTACCACATCTCGGCCAGAAGGTGGCGCCAAAACTCCCAACACGTTCAAAGTCAAGTTGCTGGGGCGGAACCTTACAGAGAAAACGCGGAATCCCTGCCCGTCAAGGGAAAACGGCTGTCTATTCCCGCCCCCCACCC